AATAGTTATGGTAAGCTTCATTTTCTTATTTTGTTTTATTTTTTTATTTGTTTAAAAATTCTAAATTCTCATATTCTTTTTTCTTTTTTAGATATAAGACTAGGATAGCTTAGATTGGACTGACCAAATTGAGTAGGAATATTAATTTTATATGAAAAATTAATTTTTTATTTAATAAAGTTTACTGATCTTTGATGCTAAATTTCATGTAATTTATTATATTAATTAAATATTATTTATCAAATAAAATTTATTTAATTTATTACCATTTTATTTTAATTTACACCTTATGTAAATTTTTATTAAATAAGTTTTTTGAAAAAAACTAATAGATTAAATCTATTTAAATTTAATTAACTATCATGAAAATAATATTATGAAAATACTTATATTTTCTCTCTTTATCCTCCAACCACTTATTCCTATGATCTTAGTTTAATTTATACTTTTTTGCTTTATACAAGTATAAACGTGAAAAACTCATATAAGTTTGCAATACAAACCCTTTTATTTCAATAAAATTATTGTTAAAATTATTATTATAAATTTATCTTTCATAGTACATATTAATAATACTTTGTTTTTTAGAATAAAATTCTTCTACTTTGACTACTTGTAAATACTTTCAAAATATTTTTAAATCTTTAATATTATATATAGAATTATCTGCTATTTAAAATAATTTATAAATATTTTTAACCCATCAATAGCATTATTAACTAAAACAGGAGGAACTTTTTTCTCTTCTTTAATATCACTTTCTTCTTTTTCTTCAGTTAATACCATATTAACTATTTGTCCATTAGTAAAAAATTTTTCAGTTACTATATTTTGATCAATTATTTGAAAACATTTTTGTATTCCTTTTGCATCTAGCAAAGCATTAAAAAGACCAGCAATTTCCTCATTATTTTGCTCTCTTATATCATCATCAACAAATTCATTATTAGATGAAAGTATATCCATTTTCATCTAACAATTTTGAATAATCATTAGAATAATATTATTTTAAGCCTCAGCAATATAATCTATTACTTCTTTAACATTTAACTTATTACAAAATAATTAAATAAATAAATAAATAAAATTAATTTATTATATTTTATTAAAATAAAAAAATAATCATAGATTTTTATAACTTATTTTATATGATTTATACTAAAATCAAATTTACAAATTAATCTTTACAAAACTCTTATTTATACTTTACTTTAAAGCTATAGATAATATCAGCATCCATAGGTTGCAAATGTGTAGTAGTATTTAGTGAAAGGTAAATAAGTTTAATATTTGTAAGAGTAATATTAGGTGTTTTTATTATTTTATTTTTATTTTTTTTGTTTTTTTTTTTTGATCTTTATAACTAGATCCTTCCTTATTATTAGATTTATTTTTGGTAATATTATTCTCTTCAAAAATTTTTGAATTCAAATAAGATTCAGTATTGTCAATAAGAAGTAAAATCTTCTTTTCTATTATTCAAAAATAATAATCTAAATCTTTTATCCATTTAACAAATATATCAGACCTAATTCATGCTTTAGAATTAGCTCAATAATTAACAGGAAATGTTGATTTATTAAAATTTTTAAAATATCAGGGATTAAAAAATTTTCCAATTACAAGAGGATAAAGCTTATGAGAACCTGTTATATTTGTACAAAAAAGTATAGATATCCAGATTTTATCCTATAAAATTAATTAAATAAAATTTATTTAAAAATTTATAATCAATAAAATTTTTTAAGTTTATTATAAATAATTTTCACCTTCTTACAACCTGCTATAGCTTTTATACTAAGTGTTTAGTTTAGCTCTATCTGAAAAAAAAGATCAGTTTCATTAATATTATAAATATCTTCTTTATTATATAATAACAAAAGTGTATGCAAATGTAATCTTTTTTCTAAAAGTGTTGTAAGTAAAGCACTATCTGATTCATCAGAAAAATTATATCTTTGAAGTTTATTTCTTTGTTTAAATCTCTACATCTATCTATTAGTAAATTTTCATTGATTCTCTCTAATATTTAACATTTGTGCAAGTTCTATTTCTTTTTGTTGTAAAATTAAATCTATTAAAAGAAGTCTAGCTACAACTACTTGAGATATCCAAATTTTATCGAGCTTAGAAAATTGGATAGCATAATAACGGAATTTATGTAAATTTTGTAAACTTAATAAAACAACTAGCTATTTTTCATGCTTTTGCCATATTTTTGTAATAGTAGTTCTATTAATATTTTTATCACTATATTTTTCATTAAAATATAATACAACAGCACCTTATTTATATAAGGATTAGCTGATATATATTCATATATTTCTTTTTTTACATTAATACTATATAGAGATATGAGTTCTTTTTCATTTATTGAAATTAGTTGAAAATATTATAAAAAAGAATGGAAAAAGTATAAAATGTATTTTTATTAAAAATATTTAATTTTCAAAAAGCAAAAAGTTGGAAAGAAAAAAATTAAAGGATTTTTTTTAAAAAAAAATTGATTATAAGATTATTAATTCAAATTAATCTAAAAGAAGATAAAACGTGTATATCATTTTCTCTATTAACTGAAAATAAAATGTGTATAATATTTTTAGTTATATTATCTATATTTATCATGTAATAATGTGACTATATAAGGGAAAGTTTATTATATTAACTAATAATATTAGTCTAATAATTGGTGTGATAGTGATTATAATTAATATGTTATTATATTTTAAAAAATTAGAACTAAAATATAGTGAATTATAAAAAGGGTGTGATTATATAAGATGTAATTGTAGAGAGGGTTGACTGTATAATCAAAATCTAACTTTAAATATCAAAAAATTCTTATTTTAATAAAATTGTAATATTTTAAATTTGATATACGAAACACTAATTATGTAATATTTTAAGTATATATTAAATAATATAATAGAGAATAAACTACCTTATTATCTGATTATACCTGTTTAAGTTATAATATAATACCAGAAAATATTCCTAAAAATTTAGAAATTTTTGGAATTAGATTAGTGTAGAATTTGGAATAATTATATTTACTAGAAAAACTATATCTTTATTTGACCAACTATTGGAAAAACTTATCACTTTAATTTTTCTTAAACAACCATATCTTAATAATATTACATCAACATATTATAAATATTACAAATTAGAGTTAAAAAACTACTGTATAACTTAATCTTTATCAACCCTAAAGTATTTAAAACTAAAACAATAAAAGAATTAAAACTCAATTTGATTTAATAGCACCCTTAGTAATAAGCCCTATTCTAATACCAATCAATATTATAACAGAAGAAAATAAAAATAAAATAGTAATCGATAAAGTGAATTAAAATTACCTAATGAAGGATATCGATGTAATCTTGATGAAGAAGAGAGAGATGATAAGGAAAACTATAGAAATATAATAACATTTTGAATAATAATAGCATTATAGCAATTATTAAACATATAAGTGACTTTTTTAAAGGAATTGCTAAAGAAATTAGATTTTTAAAATGAGGTTTCAAATGATAATTTGAAAAAAAATGATAATTTTTTCTGCAAAATTAAAAGTTAATAATACTGAATATTCTACCAATAATTGGATATATACTGTAGAAAAATTTGATTAAAACTAGAGGAAATATCTGATAAAAAGCAATAGAATCTTAATTATTACAATATTTGGTAGCAATGAAACAGAAAAATGGCAATGAATATTCTGTTTCTTCAATTAAAGTAGCTGTTTCAGCAATCTATCATCATTTAAACTAACATTCAGTCATAATAAATTACAATTTATTATTATGATTTCTCATTGATAAATATTAAAATTAGATGATTCAAAAAATCTATGCGAACTATTACAAGAAATTGATTCTAATAGTACTAACTTAGAAATTACTATGAATACTAGAAATTTGTTTGATAAATAGTGGAGTTTACAGGTTAATTTGAAAATTTACATTACAGATTTTTAAATTTTACTATTTTTTATAATATAGCAATATTGTATAAAGATATACTTTTGATGCCTAATATTGTACACAAATAAACTATTGATATTCAAATAAGAAATATTAGTTTAACAAACTCAGCATGATTCTATAGGGCTATGTGATAATTTTTAAAGTAGAATTACATCAATATAGGCAGTTAGATTATGTATAAGTCTTGCAATTCAGAATAAATACTATATTTTTTATTTGGCTTGTTTATGATACTAGTTGTAAAAAAGACATTAGACTAGTTTATTTAATTGTTCTATAGGTTTGTATGACAAAAGGAGATAATGTACCCATGTTCAAGTAAAAGATATTTCCCTGTTTTAAAAATTTTATTTTAAGAACTGGGACTAAATTCAATAAAGAATTATAAGAACAATGACATACCTTTAGCTATTTAATTGAGAAGATTCAAATTCTTCTTCAAGTGGAAATATGTTACTTGCTAGTTTGAATATTTTCTCCAAGATTTCAACTTGTCAAAATTGTTAAAGACTGGAATATTGTAGATTACTGGTAAATATTAATTAAATTATCCAAAAAGTGGAGTGAAAAGATATACTTACGTTCTTCCTTTCTATGCTAAACTATTTGATTCCATTAGTGAAACCATATCCTATATAGCTCAAGGGTATTTTAATAAGACTTTACTGATTAGGAAATAATTATTTTTCATCATAAGATTGGAATGTCAAGCATAAGGCGTAAACTTAAGCTCATCAAAGATTATTATAAAACTATTGTCTCTAATTGAATGAAATTTTGCACTGACAATTTATGACTAATTGAAAGATGCACTCAGCTCACATTAAATGTTCATATAAAGGAGATTGTTACTTAAGACCAACCGTATAGTGATACATCCACCCATGTTTTTTTTATTGGGAAGCATACACTCTGATACAAGTTCTAAGTCGTTATATCCAAAACCCGTTGTTCAGCAACATTTTAAAACTTTTTTAAATCTTCATGATAAGTATTACATCCAGAAAGTTATGCAGGTAAATTAGGTTCATCATGAAGCATTGGAATTTTATTCTTATCAATTATGATCTTGTAAGAATGTTTGACTGGCGTTTTAAATATGGATAAATATGGATAAGGATTATATATGTTAGTTACAAATCCCACTAGATCCTGTAAATGCATTTCAAGTGAATTTTGAACTTCTTTTGTTTCTTTGATTAGGGAGATCATTAGTTTCAATGCACTGAATAAAAAAATAAATATTGGGATAAAAACAGTACAATTTGAAATATTATTAGATATGATAGCCCAACCAGCAAATTTTATTTTTTTTTAGCTGAAACGAATTTCAAATTTCTTGTTCGAAAAGTAAAACATTGAGAGAGTGATGTCGGGAATGTCAAGTGTCTGAATTCGAGTTCAACATCAGTTATCTGGCAGTAAATCTCAACTTTTCATAGTTGAGTTTTAATTATTATTTATTCCAGTACTAATAAATGTTAATCCTTATTCAATGTAACATCCGACCATGGTGTATCTGTATATGCAAACACAAATATCTAGTTAAAAAAACAAATTAATTTTGGTAAACCAAATAAGAACTTTTTTTGATTCAATTGTAGTTTGAATGCTAAGGAATTTTTCTTGAAATTTTTTCGATTGGAAGTAAAAAGACTGTTTGACCATTTTATACAAAAAAAAAAGTGATCGTACGGATTATCTAATTGTTCCGTATTTAACTAAGTTCGGGCGGAATGTGGGCTTGAACAAGTTTTTTTTAATTATCAATTAATAATTAAAAATTTAAAAGTGGATTGGTTCAAGTAAATATTTTTTTCATAATTTTGTAATAAAAACTAGGTTGGTCAGATACTAATAGTAGGAAAAAATACAAATAATAAATGGCTACGGAATTGAAAAGTAAAAAAAAAAAAACTATAAAATGAAATTAGAAAAATAAAACGAAATGAAAAAATGAAATTAGAAAACAAAACAAAACAGAAAAATAAAACAAAATGAAAAAAATGAAAAAGAAAAATAAAATTAAACGTACAATACAAAAAGAAAAAATGAACAATATGAAAATAAATGAAATTAAACGAACAATAAGAAAAAAAAACTGAAATTTTTATTGCCTTACAAGCCTTGCAGGCATGTTTAAATTTTACCATTTATTTCAGTTTTATCTCATAGGCTCATCACAGTTTTGTCTTATATTTCGTATTTGTCTTATAGTAGGCAATTTACAATTTCTCCTATGAGTATGCCTCAATTCTAAAAAGTAAATATATTTAATATAAATCTAAAAAATCATTTAAACTTTTTTAATTATTATTTGGCCTATCCCAAAATCAAGTCCTGAAGTAGTCATATAATCTTTCTATAGTATAGGTTCACCTCTCACTTCTTCTCGCTTTATTTCAATAATTGCAAAAATCCTAAAAAATATTAATTATATTATTAAGTTATATTTATCATTATATTATTATTTATTTATTTACTTATTATAATTCTGTACTAAATTCCTTTATTTTAACTCAATTTGGTGAGTTAAATATGCTGTATCAAATCTTTGATTGATTCGTTGAACTACACTTCTTCAGAATTCCATTTTATTGCCTCTGTACCTTATATGGTATTCTTTGTTTCTCCTCCTTCTTTCCTCAACTAATAAGTTAATTTCGTTATCTTCTCAAATGATTCTTATAGTTATTTTTATGTTTGTAAAAAAATATGATTTAATAAAATAAATTAAAGTGATTTAAAGGTTGATTTAAATTTCAAAAGGTGAAAAATTATATAATGGTAAAAAATACTTCTCTTTATAAATAAATTTATCCATTTAATTTGATATCTTATGAAATTCTTTACACATAATTGAAATAATACAATTTTGATTGAAATTCTGATTTGTATTAAAACAAAAATCAAAATAATAATATAAGCATTATATTATAATTATGTATTATATTATTTATAAAAATTAAATCAATCCAAATATAACAAGCAAAACTCATAATTGAAATAATACAAAAAGAACTCTTCGTGATCAAAAATTCTAATTTGTATAAAAATAAAAAGTCAAAATAATAATACATTATATTATTTATAAAAATTA